ACCGCGCACACACGCGTACGCACGCGCACGCACACCTGCACGCACCGCGCACACACGCGTACACACGCGCACGCACACCTGCACGCATCGCGCACACACGCGTCTCCCGCGGCCCGCGCGGTTATCCGAGGGGCGCCCGCAGCCGTCGGAAGGCCCCGCGTTACCGCCCGGAAGGCTGCGGCGCGTGCGGAAGAGGCGGGGAGGCCAGCGCCCGAAGCATCGGACTGACACCTTCAAACCCCGAGAAAAGGGGGACGGGAGAAGCGGAGGCCAGCTCCGCGCAGACTGGGCCGGCGCTGGGGCTCGAACCCACGGCCCTACGACAGCGCCGGGCATGCGCAGAAGCCGAGAGGGGGCGGGCGCGGAGGCTGTGCGGCCGACGTCCCACGCGCCCAGGGCCCGAGCACCCACAGTTCCAAGCGCAGGGCTGTGTCCGGAAGTCCGTGCAGCCGATCTCCCTGCCTCGTCCTCTGATTCGCTACGAACCCTTCTATTTCCGCAGAAAGTGCCGAGCCAGCGCCAGCGCCAGCGCGTCCGCGGGGCGTGCTGCTGTTTTGTTTCCGGGGGAAGCCCTTTGCCGAAGGACGCCGAGGACTTCCGGGTGTCCCTCTCAGCCTTTGATTGGCTGGATTTATGAATATATTAGAGCACGGGACAAATAGGTTTTTCCCACACGATAAAACTAATATAGCGCTTTAGGGTGGATATTGTGAGTGCCCTAGTGCTCACACTCGTGCGGCTCGCACTCGGGTGCTCGCACTCGTGTGTCCGCGACACCCGCCCAAAGTCACCATAACTGAAAGGTGGCGCGAAGACAAGCCTTTAAATAGCGAACGATGCAGGAACACAGCTGTGTTGTATGAAAGGAGAGAAGGTTAGCACTCCCCTTGACAAGGATGGAAGAGGCCCTCGGGCCTAACAACACACATACGGTTAAGGCATTGCCACCTACTTCGTGGCATCTAACCACTGTTTTTCATCAACCGGCGTGCAGTGGGCTGGGGTCTCAGCAGGGTGTCCACGCACGTGGGAGTGAGATGTGCGCACAGACGTGTGGCCCATACGTGTGCAGCCCGCGGAGACACCAGTGTGACTTGCTCTTTGCTCCTTGTGCTGCTGGGCATTATCTTGAGTTGATCTGCGTTCTCCAGGGTTGACATTCGCACACCTGGGCCAGGTGTACCTCTACCTCCCTCCTTCCGTGGGAGTGAGATGTGCGCACAGACGTGTGGCCCACCCGTGTGCGGTGCGCAGAGACACCAGTGTGACTTGCTCTTTGCTCCTTGGGCTGCTGGGCATTATCTTGAGTTTATCTGCGTTCTCCAGGGTTGACATTCGTGCACCTGGGCCAGGTGTGCCTCTACCTCCCTCCTCCCTGCACACCAACCTTTTGATGGGGTAGTGTCAGGAAAAACAGCAACTTGGACATAGGCCCCAAAAGTAAGACGTCTACTGCCTGGCGCCCTCCGTGCAGGCCCTTCCGCCTCCGGTGTCTCAGCCACGGCACAAGTTAAAGGGCAGGGTGCTGGTGGCATGGTGGCCATCCACGGAAACGCCAAAACTGTGCCCAGAGGAAGGCCTGTTGCCCTGGGGTTTTCACCGTTCCTGCCAGCTCTGAATTCATCTGCAAACCGACTTCAGCATCGCTGTTCCTGTGTCAGGTGGTGTTTGAATTCTCCTTGGAACCGGTGGTGACAATTTCAGGGTTCGGAGACCTTTGGCAAGTGTGCCTTTTGTTTTACCTTCACACAGTTTCTGCCTTCCCCTCTCCCCTCCTGCCCCTACCCCAGGTCCAGTGGGTGGTGAGCCCAGGATCTCATCCGAGGGGCCCCAGCCCTGGCACAGGACATCCCTGTTGGGCCTTCAGCACCCACTGTCCTATCCTGCTTCCCCCAGGCATCCTGCTGAGGGGCAGCTGTGCACAAGGCGGGGTGGGGGGGAGACCCGGGGTGGAGACCCGGGGTGGGGGTGGGGTGGGGGTGGGGTGGAGATCCCCAGGCCAGCACCATGCTTCCAAGTGCTTTCCTCACAGGCTGAGCAGGAAATGATGTACTTAAATCCCTACACATGCAATCCCCAGAAAGGGAACCCTCGCCTTTATGTCCAGAACACAAACTGCTGTAAGGTTTAAATGTAGCATTAATTTGAGGACCTAAAACACTTTATCAAACTAAATAAAACCAACCTGAAGGACGACTGTTTAAAAAAGCACCATCTGGCCCTGGCCGGTTTGACTCAGCAGTTAGAGTGTCGGCCTGTGGTCCAGAGACTCGGGTTCAGTTCCGCTAAGGGCGTGTACCTCGGTTGCAGTTTGTCCCCGGCCCCAGTTGGGATCGTGTGGGTGGCAACCATTCAGTGTCTCTCTCACATCAATGTTTCTCTCTTTCTCCTGCTCTATCTAAAGATAAATGCAAAAATGTCGAGGATAAAAAAATAAATAAAAATTAAAAAGCACCATCCGCCTGGCCACTGTGGCTCAGTGGTTGAGCATCAACCCTGAACCAAAAGGTTGCTGGTGGTTCGATTCCCGGTCAGGGCACATGACCAGGTTGTGGGCCTGATCCCCAGTGGGGGGCACGCAGGAGGCAGCCAGTTGATGTTCTCTCATTAATGTTTCTCCTCTCCCTTTCTCTCTCTCTAAAGTCAATAAAGAAAAGATATTAAAAAAAAATTGTTTAATAAAAATAAAGCACCATCCACTGAGCTTCTGCACCAACCAGGACCAGGGAGTCCAGATGCAGCCTGGGCCTGCAGGAACCAATTCAAATCCTGTTTGTGTACCTGTGTGTGTGTGTGTGGACAGGTGTACACATACTGTTTTGTTTGCTTTTCTTTTATGAATGCAGGCACATGCACTGTTTAATTTTTATTGATCTGAGAGACACTGATGGGTTATCCCACTTATCCATACATTCACTGGTCGCTTCTGGTCTGTGCCCTGACCAGGATCGAACTTGCGACCTCGGTGCATGGGGACCACCCTCTAACCAACTGAGCTACCCAGCCAAGGTCGTACATGTTTCCAAAAGTAACGGGAGACAACTGGGGGAATCTGGGTATCGAGTACTTGACTGAAGACTATTTTAGGTGTGACTGTGGCATGCGGTGACTTTTGGAAGAAGTTTCTTTCAGAGGTTTGATGTATTCACTGCCTAGATGATGAAATGCCTGGGGCGAGGGCACACTGATGGGCGAGGGCACACACGCCAAGAGGCGCTGTCTCTGGGGCTGGAGGGCTGGGACACCAGGTCTTCTCAACTCGCATTCGCCTGCAAGATTTTCCAGAATAAAAAGTTCTAATTTCAGCCGTGGCCGGTTTGGCTCAGCATTTAGAGCGTCAGCCTGCGGACCAATGAGTAGAGGGTTCGATTCCAGACAAGGGCACGGACCTCGGTTGCGTTTGGTCCCCAGCCCTGGTGGGGTCGTGCAGGAGGCAACCAGTCGATGAGGCTCTGTTACATCGATGTTACTCTCCGTCTCTCCCTCCCACTCTATCTAATGATAAATAGGAAAATATCCTCGGGTGAGAAATAATTTTTAGAAACTTCTGACTTCAGTGAGTACACCAGGTATTCCCCCCGGACAGTCGTGGGAATCTGGGTGATTTCTGGCCTCTGCCTGTTTCGTGTTGCTGCTAACACAAGTACATAACTTCTATAGTAATGCAGGCCCCCGAGTGGGAGGCCCCCGTCACCTCCACACCCGTAACAGCTACACTTTAAGGTAAAAAAGTCTAGGGGACAAAAATACAAGACATGAAAATCTTTATTTCCAAAAAGAGAATGTATTTTTACATAAATCTACAACAGAGTTCCAATGTAGAAAAAATACACTATATTCAAGGACCCAGTGCTCTGCACACCCCCCTCCAGGGCGAACTGACACCAGAACCAACAGAACGAAGGAGGCTCGCCGTCCGGGAAACCCCAGACAGAACCGCTGGACACCGCCGGGGCCTTAGCTTCTCCTATCCAAACCCTGCGGGTGCGGTCCCAGCCCGAGTGCCACCCTCTCCTGCAGCAGTTCATGAGGACAGACCACCCCAAGCACATCCACCTCCTGCAGGCAGCCGACCCCCCGATGCCCTTAGAACCGCCCGCTTGCCCCGTGCCCAGGGTTCCCAGGAGGCCTGTCTGCAGGCAGCCCCCCCACCGCATCCAACTGAAGGCCCGACAGGCTCCATCCACACTTGGCCATCCAGAACCCCAGGACTGGGACTCGGGACTTAGGAAAGACAGGGGGGCTGAGACCCAGACTGTCGATGTCGGCACCTGCACCCCAGCCCCAGGTGGGAACACGCCTCCCCCTGGCTGCACTGAAGGCCTCAGGGCTGGCAGACTGGGCTCGAACCCCAGGGTGGGCCTTGCTGACCGGCAGCAGCCACACAACTGGCTCTGCAGTTCCAGCCACGCCCACCGGCCAGCCGGGAGACCAGGCAGGCGGATGACGCCCACCTCCCCGCCACCGAGGACTCCAAGAAGCCCGCCAGCCCTCAGGCCAGCCACAGAGGACGGTCAACAGCCTGCCCTCAGCGCAGAGTTTCAGCCTGGAACTGAGGTACGGAGGCCTCCTGCACCCCAGCTGTCCCAGGGGAGCCAGCCGCCACCCCGCGCACGGCCCACCCTGCTCACAGCCTGCAGCGCTCAACAGGACGTCTCCCTCCCGACAGCGTGCGCCCCGTTTGCACAGCACTCACGAGCAGGGCCGGGCTCTCCAGAGGGCAAGGACAGCTCGGGGCGCCGCCGGGCACCTGTCCTTGACCACGCCCCCCTGCCAACCACCAGGCTTCCTACAGAAGCAGCGCACCGAGCTCCCCAGGGAAGCCAACCGCCACGCCGCGCATGGCCCACCCCGCTCACAGCCTGCAGCGCCGAGCTCCCCCGGAAGCCAGCCACCACACCACGCACAGCCCACCCCACGCACGGCCCACCCCGCTCACAGCCTGCAGCGCGCCGAGCTCCCACGGAAGCCAGCCACCACCCCACGCACAGCCCACCCCACGCACGGCCCACCCCGCTCACAGCCTGCAGTGCTGCGCGTGGTGTGAACAGCGGGCACAGACAGGGAGCGCTGAGTGCCCGCCACGCGGGCTCTGAACACAAAGGGTTGCACACGAACCGGCTCGCAGGCCCTGCGCCCCAGACGTAACACGGGCACTACTGCAGGAACGGCGGCGGTGGGACTGCGTCGCGATGGCATCTGCTGGCCAGACCAGGGCGCCCGCAGAGGCCGGGCGGCGACCTGGCCGCAGCGCTTGCACAGGCAATGGAACATCGAGAACAGTACAGAACGTTTACTGGGAAAAACACAACCTGGATAAACTGAACTTCACCTCACCCTTTTGTAATAAAAATTAAGTTTTTTCTTGACTGAACACAATACAGACTAGGAACTCTTCCCCAGACAGTGAGAGAAATTGGCAAGAAATGTCACCTTCTAGAACTTTCTGGTGGTAACACTCCCCCCTCAGCCAAATGGTCTTCAGAGGCGACTGGAGTCCAGGCCCCGCCCAGACCCCCAGGCCCGGGCCAGGGGACCCGAGACACCTCGCCCGTGCCAGTCCGGGTCCACGCCGACAGCCCGCGGCACCAGGGCCTAGCAGTCACTCTTCCAGAGCTTGATGGTCTTGTCGTTCTCCAGGGCGGCCGAGGCGATGATGTTCTCCGTCGGGTGGCACGCTGTCGAGATCACGACATCTGGAAACGAGAGGCAGTCAGCACGGCTCCTTCCTGGGCGCAGACCCACCCGCTCGTCCCGGGGTGGCACCCCCAGCGCTGACCGCCGACTCGCACAGCCTTTCCCTGCAACCACTTCAGGGCCGTCGAGTGACACCCGGAGCCTGGGGGCAGGGAGCGGCGCAGCCGACGTGGCGCAGCCGGCTCTGGGCTGGCACGCTGTGTGGGGTGCTGGCCTCCGAGTGCCAGACTGTCCCCAAGGGGCCAGAGGTGGCCCCGGGGCTGGGTGGCAGGCGGTCTCTATGTGGACAACACACCCTTTCACCTGAGCCCAGAACCCACCCCCACGCCTGCCTGGCCTGAGACTCTCCGGGGGCTGCTGTCACCACGAGGCCCGTCCACACCCCAAGCAGGACACCACATCTCATGAGCTGGCATCTGGGGTCGACCAGCGTAATGCACTTAACATTTTACAAAAGCTGGACCCCGAACTTGACCTCTTCCCCACAAGCCTTCCAACAGCACTGACACCTGCCCAGCTGACCCGGTGCCCCTCCGCTCCGGGGTGAGGCCCCGTGGGGCGGGCTTGCTGCTGCTCAGGGAACACGCTCACGGACTACACAGCTGAGGAGCAGGCAGGAAGGGGTATTCCGAATGCTGAGGAACCAGGGAGGGGAATAGGGGGTGCCCTTGAATGCTGAGGAAGCAGTGAGGGGAATAAAGGGGACCCCAGGAGCTGAGGAAGCAGTGAGGGGATTAAAGGGGACCCCACGTGCTGAGGAAGCAGTGCGGGGGATGGGGGACCCCACGTGCTGAGGAAGCAGTGCGGGGGACGGGGGGACCCCACATGCTGAGGAAGCAGTGCGGGGGATGGGGGAACCCCAGGAGCTGAGGAAGCAGTGAGGGGAATAAAGGGGACCCCACGTGCTAAGGAAGCAGTGAGGGGAATAAAGGGGACCCCAGGAGCTGAGGAAGCAGTGTGGGGGATGGGGGGACCCCAGGAGCTGAGGAAGCAGTGAGGGGAATAAAGGGGACCCCACGTGCTAAGGAAGCAGTGCGGGGAATAAAGGGGACCCCAGGTGCTGAGGAAGCAGTGCGGGGGGTGGGGGGCCCCAGAGCTGAGGAAGCAGTGAGGGGAATAAAGGGGACCCCACGTGCTGAGGAAGCAGTGAGGGGAATAAAGGGGACCCCACGTGCTGAGGAAGCAGTGAGGGGAATGGGAGGACCCCACATGCTGAGGAAGCAGTGTGGGGGATGGGGGGACCCCAGGAGCTGAGGAAGCAGTGAGGGGAATAAAGGGGACCCCCGGAGCTGAGGAAGCAGTGCGGGGGTGGGGGGACCCCAGAGCTGAGGAAGCAGTGCGGGGGGTGGGGGGACCCCCGGAGCTGAGGCAGCAGCAGGCAGCCCTGCAGTGGACAGCAAGCGGCCTCGCTCCCTGCACCGTTCTGGACGTGGGGCTGGCGCACGGGCTGTGCATGGAGAAGCCACAAGCCCGGGTGGAGGTTGACGCCCCCAAACGGGCAGTGTGCCCCAGGCCTCCAGAGGGCCGAGGAGAGAGGCTGGATCAGGCTCCAGCCCTGACCCCCGCGGCGGTGAGCGGCGGTGGCCCCACGCGCGCTCACCTGTGTGGCCCTGCAGCTTCTGCACGATCTCCTTGGTCTGCAGGTTCCAGATGTACACCAGGTTGTCCTCTGAGCCCGACACGATCCACTGGGGGCGGCGACGGGCGGGGAGGTGAGCCAGCCGGAGCCGCGAGGAACTCCCGCCCACCCTCCCGACTGCGGTGTGGACTCCAGGCTGAGCCGGTCCCCTCCTCGCCACGCACCCCCAGGCCCGCCCCGCCCTCCTGCTCGCTCTCAGACGGACGGAAGGAACCGCGCGGAGGGCGTTGGGGTGTGAAATGTTTTCTTAAATGGCCACGTCCTAGGTCTGTGTCGCACACATTCTGACTGTCGCCACCTCCTCTGCGTCCCACTCCACTGACTGAGGGCGGCTCGGCCTGCTACGGCGACACCCGGGGGCCAGCCTGAGGACCCGCCCGAGGACCCGAGTTAATAGACGGGGCAGGCCCAGGCAACCAGGTGAAGACGTCCTCTCTGAGTGTCACCAATGCCTTCTGCATCATGTGACTTCGTTTTGGTAAAAAAGAGCAGGAAGCTACGGCTCGTGGGCACAGAAGGCAGCAGCCTGCCGCGGCCCCTCGGGAGGGCGGACGGGCAGGACCCGGGCAGACGTACCTTCCCCCCAGTGACGGAGAAGTTGGCGAAGATGCAGTACTTCTCGTTCTTGTGGCCGGTGTAGGTCTTCAGGCACTGGAAGGCAGACAGACCAGTGGGCACGGCGCCCGCCGCCCGCCAGGACAGGCCGAGTTGAGTGTGGGCGTGGTCAGGCCGACGCAAGTCACTCGGAAAGCAGCCCAAACCCCTGCAGCGCAAAACGCTGTGCCCAGCCTGACTGCACACTGCACCCCAGACACATCTCTGAGAAACCTGCACCAAACCCACCCGCGGACACGGCTCTGAGGCCCCAGCTCTGCTGTCATCCCAACTTGCGCCCGGGCCTCTGCCCCCCCAGCCCGCACCCGGGCCTCTGCCCCCCCCCCCCCAGGCCTCTGCCCCCCCAGCCCGCGCCCGGGCCTCTGCCCCCCCAGCCCGCACCCGGGCCTCTGCCCCCCCCCCCCAGCCCGCGCCCGGCCCTCTGCCCCCGCAGCCCGAGCAAGGCGCCCGGTGGCTCACCTTCCCTTTGCTGTAGTCCCAGAGCTTCAGCGTGCTGGAAGGCAGAGCGCGGGGTCAGACACATTCCCGGGGCCCCCCAAGTGCAGGGTGCAGGGATCTGAGGACCCCCCAGAGCACAGTGCGAGAGCCCCGTACCTACAGCTCAGACAGACCCGTAAAGGACGCTGCCGGGTGTTCCCTAAACCACTAAGTGGGCACCTCGTTCCTGACAGAAAGGAACATGGGGAGCCCTGGTTCCAGGAAAGTCCAGAACACTTCAGCGCAACCCTCACCCTCCTCTGGGGGAAAGGCACCCCACACAGGGGCGCTGAGGCAGAGAACAAGCTGGGCCCAGGCAAGGCCTCGCCCAACGTGAGCGCAGCACAGCTCCCGCAAGAGGGTGACCGCCGGACGGGCACGACGGGGAATGTGCCCCAACCACGCCGGGGCAGCCGAGTGCTCGGGCAGAACCAGAGCAGCTCAGAGCACAGCCCCGCCCCACCCCTCCAGGGCCTCTCCACCCGCAGCCCGACCCAGGGCTCCGCCGGGCAGGGAGCAGAGCTTACTTGTCCAAGGTAGCAGCCAGGATGTACTTGCCATTCGGGGAGAACTTCACGAAGGACACGGGGGGGTTGTCGTCATCTGCACAGAAACAGAGGGGCTGACGCACGGGCGCCGGGGCCTCAGCCGGGACAGGGAAGGAAAACAGCCTGCCCAGGAGCCCGTGAGGCCATGCCACCGTGCCGACACCGCCACCCTGAGGGAGTCCCCCGGGGGCTCTGCACCTCCCTCACCCGGCCCTCGTGCCCGCCCGAGAGCCGCTCCTCCGTGCTCCTCCAGCCCGCGGGAGCCCTGTGGGGGCCAACCACCCCGTCGACACGAGGGCTTCGGGAGCACGCCAGCTGCGGCCCGGCCAGCACAGGCACGGCGGGCGGTCAGCCTCAGCTCCTGACGTGAAGCGTGTGCAAACCCAGTGAGGCTGGGCTACGAGGACTGAGCCAACAACTCGGGTGAGTGCTCTCAGACGACTTCCTGGAGCAAACGAGTGGTACTTTCCCCTAGAAGACACCCTCGTTCTGGCGGCCCTGGGCACGCAGGCAGGAGCCACAGAGCCCGCCGGCGCTCCCAGAGACACCGGAAAGGAGGCCCTCCAGCTGTGTGCCACTGCCGCGGTCCTCCCGTGAGCAGTGTCCCCGCCTGGGTGAGGGCTGGGGGCGTGCATCCGGTGTGGGAGCCCGTGGGCTGGTGTCCCGAGCACCGGGGGAGCAGCTTTACCACCTTGGAGAGCCCGAGCCTGGCCGCCGCGCACCGCGGGCCGGCGCTGCTGCCAGCTCCCAGACGCTGGAAAGGCACAGGAGAAGGCGTGAGGCCACGGCCCGTCCCAGGAAGGCACGGGAGGGTGGGCAGAGCAGCCTGGCCAGGCAGGAGGCCGGCAATCCTACCCAGCCCCTTAGCACACCATCAGCGGGACTTGTGTGCTCAAGACCAGAAAGTTCTACCTAGACCCGAAATGAAAAGCGGGAGGGAACCGCGGCCTGTGCCCACCGCCTGCCCTCCCGAGACTCCAGCTCGCTGCGGGCGGGGCTAGCTGACTGCCCTGCGCCTGGGGCCTGCTCGGCCGCCGTGGCTGCAAGAGCACCTGCTAACGCGACAGCACCCGACACCAAGTGCGCTCCGAGCAGAGGCAGCTGCACCAGGCCCTGGAGCCGCTGGACGGACACCGTGGGTGTCGCTGCGGGAGATTAAGGACGTTCATCAAAGGGCTGGCCCCACAAAGAAGAAAACCGCACAGGCCACTGTGAAGGCCGAGTGTGTCCCTCCCCAAACTCCATCCTGAGAGCCTAACGCCAGCACCTCAGGCCACACTTGTACCTGGAGACGGCGCCTCGAAAGGATGGTTAAATTCAGTGAGGCCTGACCCCACCCGCCTGGGGTCCTCAGGAGAGATTTTACGCCAAGGCACACACAAAACCATCACCGTGGGAGGGCGACCGAGAACAAGGAGAGACCTCAGCGGAACCAGCCCTGCAGACGTGAGCTCGTCTGGGAGGACAGGTTTGCCGCTTCGGCCCCAGCAGACCTTACGTGACAGCCGCAGGAAGGCAGCTCAGGGACGCACGGCCCCCGCTGGGCCACCCCATCCACGTGACCACCACCTGCCGACTCCACCTTTAACCTAAAACTGACGACCTTCCAGGCTGACCCAGGTGATCAGCCTTCTAAACAGCAACACCCCCAATTACCACCTTTCCAGCCCAGGCTGGTGGTGCAGTGGTTAGGGCATCGGCCCGCACACTGAAGGGTCGAGGGTTCTATTCAAGGTCAAGGGTTGCAGGTTTGATCCTGGCCCACAGGAGGCAGTCAATCGATGTGTCCCTCCCACATCAATGTCTGTCTGTTTCTCTCCCCCACCCTTCCACTCTCTATAAAAAATAAAATTAAAAACAAATATATCGAGAGAGGATTATCATAAAAATAAAGAAAAACAAAACAAAACACAAAAAACTGCCCTGGCCAGTTTGGCTCAGGGGCTGAGCGTCGGCCTGTGGACCAGAGAGTCCCGGTTTCGGTTTCCGCTAGGGGCACGTACCACAAAATAAATGAATAAATAAACAAATAAACATAAACATAAACTCCTCAAAAAACAAACAAACAAACAAAAACACCGGGCTGGTGTGGCTCAGTGGACTGAGTGTCACCTCCTGGACCGAGAGGTCCATTTGATTCCCGGTCAGGGCACGTGCCCAGCGGGCTCCATCCGCAGTAGGGGGTGTGCAGGGGGCAGCCGGTGGAAGTCTCTCTCACGTAGATGTTTTTATCTTTCTCTCCCTCTCTCTCTCTAAAAAATCAATACAAACACATTTTGTTTTTTTTTAAATCCTCACCCGAGGATATTTTTATTTTTCCCTCCTCACCTGAGGACATTTTTACATTTACCTTCAGATAAAGTAGGAGAGAGGGAGGGAGGGAGAGAAAGAAACATCCATGCAAGAGAGACGCATCGACTGGCTGCCACCCACACAACCCCAACTGAGGCCAGGGACAAATGGCAACCAAGGTACGTGCCCTTAGCGGGAACCAAACCCGGCCTCTCTGATTCGCCCGCCGACGCTTTAACCCAGTGGTTCTCAACCTAATGCCGCGACCCTTTAATACAGCTCCCCACTTTGTGGTGACCCCAACCATAAAATTATTTTCCTTGCTACTTTATAACTGTTAATTTTGCTACTGTTATGAATCGCCATCAGCAATGTGTTTTCCGATGGTCTTAGGCGACCCCTGTGAAAGGGTCGTTCGATCCCCAAAGGGGTCGCGACCCACAGATTGAGAACTGCTGCTCTAACCACTAAGCAAACCAGCCAGGGCAAGGATATTTTTACATTAATCTTCAGATAGAGCTGGAGGGAGGGAGGAAGAAAGAGAGAGAGAGAAACATTGATGTGAGAGAGACACATCGATTGGTTGCCACCCACACACCCCAACTGGGGCCGGGGATGAACTGCGACCAAGGTACGTGCCCTTGGCCGGAATCAAACCCAGGGCTCTCTGGTCGGCGGATGACGCTCTTACCGCTGAGCCATAGCTGAGCCATACTGGCCAGGGCAACAAATTTTTTAAAAAAAAGAACAAAACTTTTCCAGAACTGACCCCTCCCCATCCCGCCCTCTGCCCCCCCACCAAGCCCACCCTGGCCTCGAACCGCCCTCCCCGTCCCCAGGCACCGCTCCAATGCCTGCAGTGACCTCAGGGCCTTCGCCCCAGCTCCTCCCTGCCCACCTCCCGGCACCCTGGCCGGTGGGCTCAACCACAGCTGCTCAGAGGAAGGCCGAGAACAGTCCACAGGCTGCAGACTCCAAGGGTCGGCCGCGCACAGGCAGAGTGGGAGTGGCTGAGGGCCCTTTAGGGCCAGGCGAGGGCCACCCCGGTCAGTGAGGGAGAAGCCGGGGAGGTGGGAGCATCTGCAGAGGAGCATCTCCAGAGGGAGCAGACCCAGGACAGTGAAGAAGAGAGGCCCCCAGGAAAGCACCAGGGGCAAGGGTGAGGCGGACAGCCCCACGGCGGACAGCCCCACGGTGGCCCCACCGGTGGGCCCCACGCCCGAAGCACAGCCCCCGCAGGAAAGGCCCAGCCAGAGCAAGGCCGCACTCACCAATCAGCGTCTTCAGGCACTGGCCAGAGGCGGTGTCCCAGATCCGACTGCAAAGCAAGACCCACCAGCACTGTAGGAGAGCAGCCCGCAGCCCGCAGCCTGCGTCCCAGTTCTCCGCCAGACTCAGCTCTGGGACGGACACTCCCCCCGCTTCGCAGGTTCCCGGCCAGGCCTCTCGCCCACCGAACGCCCTCTGGACGGTCCGGGAGAGGCTGGCGCCGCACACACAGGGACCACGCGGCGCTGTCTCCCCGGGCAGCCGGCTCGCAGCAGGGAAGCCGCCAAGGGCAGTGCTGCAGCTCCTCGCCGCGGGGCGGCCCCGGCGGCCCGGTCCCCGTCCCCACCAGTCTAAGGGCAGCGCGCGCACCTGGGCCCTCCGCGTCCCTGATCACGGCACGCGCCCACTGGCTGCCCCACCGCCCGGTCCACCCCGGGCCTCTCTCCCTGCGTAATGCTCCACCTTAAACCCCACTCGAGTCAATGCGGCTCTTTGCTTCCTAGCTGCTTGACACCGTCTGCCCGTCCTGTTCAAACCTGTCGCTCCTCCTGTTAGGTGTTTCCCGAAGACAACGAAGAGGTCAGAAGGACCTTGAACCCTAAGCTGACAGCCTTGGAAGGGGCTCTGGGGTCACTCAGCCCCGCTGTAACCGAGCACACGGGCCCCTCCCTGGGGCTCCTGCGTGGACTACTCCCTTTCCCTGCTGCTTCTCATTTCGTTTTCCCTGAATGTGAACAAGTCTCTACTCACACTTCCTACGAGAAGTTCTACTCGAGTCATCAACCCAGCCGGCGGCAGCCGACGCCACCTCCCCCCAGGAACGGAACACGACAACGCTGCCCACCACACCCACCGAACGCCCAGCACCACATGGCCCGCCACGGACTCCGCCGACTTAACGTAAACACACACGTGCCCGTTTCCCCATCCCTATGCCCTGCACACCCGCCCCTGGGAGTGAGCTAGGCAGTCTGCCGGGCCCCTGCCCCGCTGCTCTGGACAGTCCCTCCGTGGACAGCAGGCAGTGTGGTGACTCCTCAGCTGTGAGCCCACTTCCTTCCCCGCCTACTGAGGCCAGGTGCCTTTTAAGTGCGAGTCAGTGTCTACAGGGCACTCGGTCTGGTCTGGTCCGGTCCAGCCTCACGAGGAGGCCGCTCCTGCCCCACACCGTCTGCTTCAGCAGCATCCCCACCGGAGTGCGCGCCCAGCGGTCTGCAGCCCCTGCCGCAGCCTCGGGGCCCGAGCCTGTCTTCGCCCACTGCTGCGGCCGCCAGCCAGTGCCGGAAAAGCGCTCACAAATACTTGTCACTAAAGGGAGGGCGTTCCTCACTTACCAGAGCCCGTCGTAGCTGCTCGACACGATCAGGGATCCATCACGATTGAAATGAACCTGAGCATGAGGCGTGGGAGAAAAGAAAACTTACTTCCAACCCGCCCACACAGATGGCTTCTCCCCGAACCCCCGGCCGCGCGAGCAGGCGAGGACGAGCCTGCGCTCACTTGGATTGCCTTCCTGTGGCCTCCGGGCCCCTTGCACCTGCGCCCCCAGCCGCAGTGGATGACTGGCCGAGAAAAGGAAGCAGCCCGGAAGCACCCTGAGTAGCACATCACTTACCGCGAGACGTGTTGTTGAAATAACACAACCAGCCGGGACCCATGGCCTCAGGAGGCCACATTCCCAAGGGCCTGGCCATGGGCCTGCTCTGGCAGTGAAGATGCCTTCCCCTGGCCTTGTGTTACCAAAGCCACAAAAATCAAGAGACAAACCCACGAATTCAGCAGCCATCCTAAGACAGGCTCCAGGGCCTTCTCACCCAGGGACCCTGCCCGCCGACGGCCAAGGCCCTGACCCGCCTCACTGCTCCAAGCCCCAGGCACCAGCACTGGGAGCACGGCTCCTGGAGCTGTCCAGTCTTGCAGGGGGGCAGAAACAAGCCCCGAGCACCAGCTCTGGGAGCACGGCCCCTGCAGCTGTCCAGTCTTGCAGGGGGGCAGAAACAAGCCCCGGGCACCAGCTCTGGGAGCACGGCCCCTGGAGCTGTCCAGTCTTGCAGGGGGGCAGAAACAAGCCCCGGGCACCAGCTCTGGGAGCACGGCCCCTGGAGCTGTCCAGTCTTGCAGGGGGGCAGAAACAACCCCGGGCACCAGCACTGGGAGCACGGGTCCCTGGAGCTGTCCAGTCTTGCAGGGGGGCAGAAACAAGCCCCGGGCACCAGCTCTGGGAGCACGGCCCCTGGAGCTGTCCAGTCTTGTAGGGGGGCAGAAACAACCCCGGGCACCAGCTCTGGGAGCACGGCCCCTGGAGCTGTCCAGTCTGTGTGCGGCTGGTCCAGGGCTGGCCGACAGCACTGCATACTGTTCACTTGATCTGAAAGCCTAACTGCTTTCAGGGCTACAGGGGCGGTGAGACACCCGCCCACAAAGAGTTCCAATCTGACCAGCCCCTCTCCTGTAAATGACTTATCTTTGGGGTTTTCCTTTTTTCCCAATTAAACCCGAGTACAAATGACAGGGCCACAACGTCAGGCGCCAGAGCTCACACATCCCATCATTCCCACTGAGTCTGGGCAGATCTCACCTGGGAGAGCCTCTTCAGACGCAGCACCTTAGCAAACTGCCTTGCTTCCTGCCACGTGGGCTACACTCCTATGAGATCGAGGCGCAGAGAGGCCCGGAGGCAGCCTCAGGGCCGGCTCAGGCTGCCTGCCCGTCCAGACCAGGGTCTCAGCCTCGGCAGGACGGCCCTCGGCCACCTGCTCTGCCATGAGCCGTGCAGCAGCGCCCGGCTGACAGCCGGAAGGTCTCCACACACTGCGACAGCCCAGGGCAAAGCCACGGCACCAGCCGTACCTGAGGGCTGGGGGCCAGGAAGCGGCACCCGGACGCCCGCCGGGCAGGCCCTCCGGAGCGCTGCGAGCCTCAAGGACAGTGTGAAGCGTCCCAGGGCTGCAGTGGAGAAGTAGCAGGGACAACGCACGGGTAGGTTTGCGTTAACCGACATACCTGATGTACTACGTCCACGTGTACTCGGTACTAACTTACTAAGGGGTACCTTACATTCCTTCCTGTCATCCCAAGGGCTGGTGGCCTGGGTGCTGGACAGCGCAGCTCAGGGAGGCGCCCCCCCAGCAGACGTGCAGTTTCCTGACTGTCACCTCCCCCCACCAGCCGCATGGGCCGATGCTCCTGTAGGCTGCTCGTAACTGTCCCCACCTGTGCGGCACCCCAGGGTACTCTCTGTAACCCCCAGCAGTCAATCAAACCACGTTCACCCCTTTCTTTGAATTTGCAAAATAATATTTTGTCTTTATTGATTTCAGAGCCGCTTCCTGCATGCCCTCCACTGGGGATCAGGCCCACAACCTAGTCTTGTGCCCTGACCGGGAATAGAACTGGCGAGCTCTTGGTGCAGGGTCGACGCTCAACCACTGAGCTACGCTGGCCGGACACAAAATATTCTTTTGCTGAGGCCCGCACGCTGGACAATGGGCTGACAAGGTGCCCACACCGGCAATGCCGACGCGCGCTGTTCCCAACCACGTCGACAACACCCCAGCAAGCGCGCTCTCCCTCAACCACTGCTCGTGCCCGGGGGCGCCTCCTGGAGGAATGCCAAAGCCGCTGGCGCTACAGAAACGGAGATGGCAGCAGGACAAGCTGCTGGCGATGCCACGTCTGCACCCAGATGGACAGTCACGCGGAGCTCTGCACGGAGGGCCCGCCTGGACACAGCAGGCCATGCAAAGGCACCAAGGCCGCCAACGTGCGCAGAGTGAGGAAGCACAGGTGCCTGGCTGCGACCAGGGAGCGAGGGGTGTAGGATGAGCTGATATGTCATGGGGGTGTCAAGTGCAGCACAGGGAACACCGTCAATAATCCTGTGGGCACTACGTATGGGGCCAGGGCATATCGGGAAGACACTTTGCAAAGCGTTATGACTGTCGAACCATTGTATGTACTCCTCACACTAACTCAAATAACGCGGAATGTCAACTGCCATGGCGGGGGAGCTGACACGGGAGCAGTCCAGGCAGAAGACTGGCTGGGCTGAGGGAGGGAGGGCAGGCATGGGGAAGAAGCCAGCAGGACACCAGCACCCTGAGGGTCCAGCTCCAACACGATGGCAGAGAGCTCAGCGTGTGCACCAGGGCAGTGTTTCTCTTTTCAAGTTCACGACGCTCAAACAGATGTGTCCACTGCACCTTCTGGTAAAGCATAAGTTACAGAGCGGCACCCATGGGGGTGAGTGGCTCAGTGCCAACCTCCTGACGGTGCCAGAGGTCGGGGTTGCAGGCCACGTGCACGGACAGAGCAGGGGCAGAGGTGGCAGAGACCCAGCATTGCTCCTTAAAGAGGCGGCGTGCGGAGAACACAGGTTTAAACACCAAGCCCAAGCGCAGACCCCAGCCACGGGCAACTCCCCCGCAGGCTGGGAGCTCAGGGGACCTTCCACGTCCATCACGGCCTTGTTTCAATGAGCACGTTCATGTTGTAAGAAACAAAGGCTTAAGGGGGAAAAATCATCCTTAAGGTAAGACCCCACTTCGGCCACTGTCAGAACAGAACGCTGTCAATTCATGTGTGGGTCACTTCCCGCGAGGCCCGTATGCCTGCAGGCACCCCATCCCAGGGGCACTGACTCTGGGCCAGCGAGGGCCGTGCCTCACCAGCACACACACCGCCGTGGCCCGTACGGACCAGGCTTGCTGCAGTCTCAGCCGCGCAGAATGGCCTTCCAAGGCTGAACATGCTTGCAGTCACCCCCTCCCGGCTAGGGAGAGTGAGGACCCTCTGCGCAGTAACACGGAACAAACCGGTGCACGCAGTTCCCTCAACTTTTCAAGAGGAAGGTGTCTACGAACCGCCTTGGGCTGTGGCTATACTTCAGCCACTGTGTAAAGGGAGCACCTGGAGACCCGTGTGGTGTGACTCTTACACACTCACCCTGCACACTGCCAAACGGCAGGACTTGGACCCCGCGGAGCGGGCGCTCTTGCACGAGCCCCACCTGCCCCCACCTGCCGGGCACTCTGGAGCATTCTCAACGCCGTCCCGGTCCACCTCCAGTGCCACCCCACCAATCAGTTACTCCCTCTAAACTCACACTGCACACGGGTCACAGGTCCCCGCGCATGGCCCCTCTTCCAGGGCCAACTGCTCCCACCCCAGAAGGTTTGGTCTGGGGACCCCCTCCCTGCCCCATGCACTACAACCACCTGTCCTTCCGCAGGATGTGAGATTTCCCCAGGGTCCCCAGTGCCCCACGCCTGGCCATCTGCAGGTCAGAAGGACTTACAGCAGAGACGGGGTCCGAATGTGCAGGCAGGGTCTTGAGGCACTTGCCTGTCTTCACATCCCATATCCTCACGCTCTCGTCAAACTGAAGACAAGGGAGAGTCGAGCCATTCCCCAGGTGCAAGGGGCTGGGAGACCCTCCGGAGCCACCACTGACACCACCGCGCCGCCACCCCCAGGAGAGGCCAGCACACTTACAGAGCCTGAGACGATGAGGTTGGACTGAGGGTTGAAGTTACAGCAAAAGACATAATTGCTGTGTCCCTTCAGGGTCTTCAGACACTTTCCCTAAAATAAAATATTGTCATACTCTTACTCCCTCCCAGTGACTAAGAGCAGGGTCAGGCCCATCCACTGACACCTAACATACACCTGTAAAGACACCTGTGACAGCAAGGCTGGCCAGGGACAGGGTGCTCCCACGCCCTCTTCACCTGCACACTCCTCTCTAGGAAGGAGCCCCAGAGTTTGGCTTACCGAGCTCACATCCCATATCTTTAGGGTTTTATCATCTGAGGCAGAAACAAGGAGGTTAGAGTCAGACGACCAGGCCACATCTGATATTCCCTGGGGAGAAAAAAACAGAGTCACCATCTTAATGGGACAAAATACAATTAACCTGCAAAAATCAAACCCCCAACATCCAACCAGAGACAAATAGACAGTCATTGCACTCGAAACCCTCTAGCCAGTGTTGAGCACAGTTTCATGCACACGCATACCGCACGCCCCAGGAGAAGCATGTTCCTTTTCCCCAAGTGGGGCAGAACTCGTCCCGGAGAGCGCCGGGTCCGCTCTCCCTGGAGCACCGGCACCTCCCCCTCCACCCTCAAGGGTGTGTTCTCTCCCCTCCGCTCCAAGGGCCCTTCTTTTGCCTCTGTAACTTGTTTCCTGAGCCCACACTGCCCAGTTGGCTCACTTTTTCTACCTGTGTGACTTTCTTTTTTTTTTTTTGGTACATGCCCCTAGCGGGAACCGAACCCAGGACTCTCTGGTCCACAGGCCAACGCTCCAACCGCTGAGCCAAACCAGCCAGGGCCCTGTGTGACTTTCTAAATAAACTTTCACTTGTATTTGAAAATCAACAACATGCAAATAACTACCAAAAACAATTTTGGGGGAAACTCAATATCTCAGTCCGACAAGCCCGGGAGAGGGGCCTCACCCACCTGATCACTGGGCCAATACCTACCAGCTTGTGACCAGATATGGTTTTCTCAAATTTTCCATCATAGGCACCCCAAATTTTAATGAGTTTATCTGCAGCTGCAAAAAAGGAGTAACAAAGAACTGAGGCTGCCCGTCATCCAGAGTCTAGAATCTGGGCTTCCCCACGGGAGCCCCTGGGAACTGAGGAACCCTGAACACACGCCACCCACACGGACGACCAGCGCCCTTCCTCTCCCCCCGGCCACCACTCAGACTGGCAACGGGCACAATGTCAACTGCTTCAGAGTCAAACACATTAGCTACCAGACACAGCCCTGCCGCGCAGACCCAGGGGGTGTAGAAAGCAGGCCCCCTTCACCAGGTCTCTCCCAGCAGCTGAGGTCCCACTGATACCTACACGAGCTTGCCAGCCACTCCCCATTCGGGCTGAATTTCACAGAGGACACAGCTTTCGTGTGGCCGGCCAGGGTGAATTTTAGAGCGTAGTTGGGTTTAACAGGTGTAGGCTGTTGAAAAGACAGTCCCCGTCAGCAAAAAGTACCCACCGCTGTCCAAGTCAACTGACTGCGCCTGGAACTGACTCCCAGAACTGAACCTCAAGCTCAGGCCTGCCTTGTGAACTCCCCATCAGCACCAGGGCCTGCCAGAGCCGTGTGCACACCACCTCCCGGCCTGAACAGTCTAATCTGAGCTCTCCTTTCTCCTGCAGCCCACCTCCGTGCCTCGGCTCCACCATCCGAATCCCCCCCACGGAGACCACCTGTGCTAGCCCTGGGTCAGCACCCCTTCCTGGCCCCTGGTGCAACCCCAAGCAAAGCTGAAGGCTTGCTCCCTGGTGACAGGTTGTTTTTGCGACCTGCTGTGTAGACAGGTCTGCAAACCTGCCTGAGCACCAGAACTGTGGACCGGTGCAGGGGTGCTGGTAACAGATGCTGTCTGGGTCCTACAGAGACCCGTACAATCAGGACTCAAGCTCCGTTGCTGCTAAAGCCCCCTCCCCAGGGGACAGGTCCAGAAGCCACACAGTCGAAGGATAAAATTGGCAATGTTCAACCGACGGGGGAGAATAAACTGATGAGCGGGAAATGGTATTTCCAAGAATCTTGCAGCCTAGGTGCCCCTGCAGTTCCTCAGGAGCCCTCAGGGACTCGCCTTGCTCTGCGTGGCCGACGACGAAGGGGTGGGCTGTGCTCGGGCAGCCTCAGTCTCAGGCTTCTTCTCCTCCGTTGCCATGGCTCTGAGGCCCACTGGGCAGGGAGGGAGACGCAGGGAGGGAGACGCAGGCAGAGGCTCACAGCTCCACACGGAAGAATCACAGTGAGAAGAGGTGTCTGCTAATCCAAACCTACAGTGGGGACCTAGGCCAATAAGCAAACCACGTTTTAAATATGAATTTCCAGGAAAAACGATAAAAACCATTTGACCTCATTACTGAGCCTAGGTATACGGCTCAAAATTGAGGACCCTAACTATTAGTCTAATTCCTTGCTAATGCTTTTCAGATGCTATGCTAAGACACCCTGCTCAGGCCCCTTTTGTAACTGTAATCAAAGACCCCTCCTCAGGGATGCTTCCTACTCTGTTCCCCACATGTCTGCAGGAATGCGGCAGAGTCCAGGAAAACAACACCCCATTTTCTTCAAAGAGAGGCTTCTAGCCCTGGCCGGTTTGGCTCAGCGGTTAGAGCGTCAGCCTGTGGTCCACAGAGACCCGAGTTCGGTTCCCGCTAAGGGCATGTACCTTGGCTGCGGTTTGTCCCCGGCCCTGGTTGGGTCGTGTGGGTGGCGGCCACTCGATGTGTCCCTTTCACATCGATGTTTCTCTCTCTTCCTCTCTCTCCTTCCCGCTCTATCTGAGTAAAAAATGGAAAAATGTCCTCAGGTGAGGATAAAAAAAAAACAAAAAACAGAGGCTTCTTGTCAGGAAACTAACAAGCCGAATTACAGAAGCCGGAGCTTCGAGGTGTACAAGCTTGGGAACTTATCCAAATCCTCAAATGCATCCCAAGTGACACAACAGTGCTAACAGCCACGTCTCAAAACACAGGAGCTCCCACACCCCGCGTGGCTGTCGCCATGCGGGATGCAGACACAGCTGCTTCCACAAGGCTCCGAGACACTGGGAAGCCCAGAGCAGAGCCAGCCCGCCTGTGCAGGAGGCCGCGGACGCTCCGCTAGTCTGCAAGCAAGGCTTACACTGCAGGCAGGGAGACTGCAGCTCAGTTAGGTTTCACTGCGACGATGCCAACTGCCCGAAAGCTGTCGGGTCAGCGACGCTCCATTACCTGGACACACCTCATAGGAGCACACCCGGCGATCCTGAAACTGGGTAAAGCATTATTCAGAAGGGAGCCACCAAGATGTTCTTACAAATACCACTAGCCGTTCAGCTCCCAGGAGCTGTTAGCACCCTTAGTGAGTTTACACAGTCAATTCTTGCTTGGAGCTTAAAACTAAAGTCTGCACATGCTCCTTGTCACACCAAAGCAAAATGGAAGCCATCAAAAAACGGCACAACTCCGAGTCTTCACCCAAGAAGGGAATGGAATGGCAATGCAACACCGCCGCAGAGCACGGGGCGGCCACCCTGGTTACCTGCACAAGGACGGACCCACTGCACCCAGAGCCCTGCTGCAGTGGGGAGGAGAGGCAGGTCGGGGAACACCCAGGGGGAAGTGCTGGCACACAGCTCCCCTCAGGGCTACTTGGTGATCATCTTCCCCTCGGTGGGCTGGGCTAGTCGGAGGAGGGAGGAGCTAAGGATCGGGCTAGAAAGCCGGTTTCACAGAACCTAACGTCTGAGGAAGCCAGACCACACTGTGGCCAGCCGCCCGCACCCAAGCCAAGCAGGAGTGGGAACACCAGAGTGAAAACAGCACTTCAGGAGGCCCGGACAGCTCACTTTAGCATACACTTTGAGACCCACCAGGAGGTGAGGCGTGATCACAGCAAACTGGCAGCCCTCAGGTGAGGACAAGATGCCCAACCCCTCCCCGCTCCGGCCCAACCTGCCCACACCTGGGGCTAGCAAAACATTAACAGGCTAAAAAAAAAAATCAGCTGGATGGACTTGTAAGGATAGGATTTCTAGACTCAATGCCCCAAGTTTCAACCCAAGGGCAGGTGGGGTGGGAAGCTTGGCATTTTTCGTAAACACGCAGGTGGTTCTGGGAAAGAACCGCTTCTCAAGGCAGCTGGGAAGCCGGTTGGGGGCTGGCTCCTTGCAGAAGAGGTCTGGGAAGGGGGCGCAGACGACAGTTCGCAGTTGGCCTCCAGCGCACTGGTGACCTGTCCTACAAGCTTCTCACCCGGGGGGGAAGGGGGGGTCCTCACCCCCTAAGGCCAAGCCTCCCAAACCTCGCAGTGCTGTCTGCCTGCTGCAAGATGCAGATTCCCGAGCTCCACCGCAGAGCCGGGGCGCACCGCTGCGGGGAGGAGGAGGGGACCCGGTGACCGCGAAGTGGCCAGCCCCGCGCGCAACCCCGCGCTCCCCACCGGGGCCCTCGGTCTGTCCTGGCTCACGGACCCTTCCACCGGGCCAGGCCGCCCTGGGGGGCAGTGTCTAGCACAGGGCCTGTCTCAGTGGCGGTACACGGACCTGGGGCGGGGGGCGGGGGGCAGCACAGCTTGACCTTTCACGCCGCCCAACGTGGACCTCGCAGACCAGACGGCAGGGGACGAGGCGCCAGGCCGGCCCCCGCTGCCTCCCCCTTCCTGCCGGCGGGCCGCGGACGGAGACCCGTCCTGAGCGCGGGGCCGAGGGCGGGCGGCAGGCCGGTGCGGGCGCTTCCCGGCAGAGCGCAGAGGGGCGTGCGCGCCGGCGGGGTGGCGGTCTGCGCTCTTTCCTGAAGGCGCCGGGGACGGAGGGGAGCTCAGGCTGGCTGCAGAGACCGCGCAGCCCGCGGGCCGAGGGCCTGTCACCAGGCCCCCGGGGAGCGGCCGCCCCGCTGAGCGCCGGGGTCCCGGGACGCCGTGGGGCCCGTGGGGGGAGGGGAACGGGACCTCGAGCACCCGGAAGGCGAGGCGGCGCGGGCGCCCGGGCGTCTGCACCGAGGGGCCCCGGCGGGCCGGGACCGAGGCCGAGGCCGGGCCCACCAGAACACGTGCGGCGGCGGCGGTTTAGGGGTGCAACGGCGTCGGCTCGCCGCGCGTGCCCGCGGGACAGACGACCCCTTTTACCTGCCGGGCTGCTGCGGGCGGGAGCGGACGGAGCGCTCCGGGAGTCGCGTCGGCCGCCGCCTGGGCGGGAGCCGGGCCGAGCTCGACGAGGCGGCGCGGAGCCGGCAGTACGCGTGCGCGTAGGGCCGAAGCGGCGTCGGGGCGGGGCGGACGCACAAAGCCGGCCTCTCGCTGGAGCGCTACGGAGAGCGGCGAGGAGCAGAATGCCTCGGGCAGGCCCAACGCCTTAAAGGGACAGTATGCCGGGCGCGATTCCTGCTTGCAAGCCTTAACCTCGAAGGTGGCGGGTTGCAGGCCGTTTTTCTCCTGCCCTTTGCAGAAACTAAAGTGTAAAGGCACCACCACCAAGTGCTACTGTCGCCCTCGAAGGCTCACATCCTGAGCTAAGCTCTCCTCCGAGAACCGAGGGCTGGCGGGGCCCTAACGTCTCTTCCGAGCTCACGTCCCTTGGTCGTCGCGCGCGGAGGCGTCCAGCCGGGCCCTGGCGGGCTCTCCGCCCAGCGTCTCCGGGAATGCTCGGGACACCCCAGTACCAGGGACCCTTACCTTCCCACTTCGAAGCGAAGACCCCGAGCTGCAGAAGGTGCCGAACGCCGGCTCCGCGCCCACCGCTCCCGCAGGGCGCACCTGCTTCTCCCCCGAGGCCCCCAGCCAGGAGAGCCCAGAGGAGCATGCAGGCCGCTCTGCCGTCTGCAAGGTGACGTCTCAGGTATCATCACCTGCAGTTACACATGGGCAGGGGAGGGCGGAGAACCCGGAGCGGCTGTTCTGGCCCTGAGCCCCGTGCCTTCTCCCCCGACTGTAGCGCCTCTTCTGCTACCCACGTGAGTCTTGGAGGTGGTCATGGTCACCCCGCTCCCCACTCCAACCCTGGCCCCTGGACAGAATAGCATGCAGTCTCGTATTTCCCAATTAAAAATGGGAACACCGAATATGATACAGGATACTGTGCAAACAAAAGAACATAGCATTGGAAATGGAAATGCCCAGGGTAGTGAGCTGTGTGGTTGCCATGGACACAGATCAGGAATAAGGGCAGCTGGTCTGGAGCCCCCCACCCCCCAAGGAGAATGCAGAGACAGCAAAGTCCCAATCTGGCCCCAGTGTGGCTCCTTGTGGCTCTCTCTGGGCCCTGGGGGCCGACTCACTGGTCTGCTCACCTGGAGCGACAGGGACTAAAGAGGGTAACCAAACCAGTTCCGGATGAGGAAAGGCATCTCTATCCACCTGCCTGCCCAGGTTCCCCTGCCCAGCTGGCCTTTTTCAAACCTCTCTGAAGCACAGTCTCTGAAACCCCACCTCTAACCTGTCTCACCCTAGTTTAAGACAGAACTGGCTTCCCATTGCCCCCGAATCCAAATCCAAACTCTACCGAGGTAGGTTACCAGACTTGCCTCCTCCTCTAACCTAGTGCCACCCCCAGACTGTGCACCCAAGGTCCCAGCGCCTAATCGAAAGTGCTTCCAGGCCTCCAACGCTCCTGGTGGAGCAGGATAAGGGCCCTGACCCCAACACTCAGAACTCAAACCAGGTTCCCAGAGAATTTGGTCTCACCTCCCTCCTCCAGGACATAGAAACTTCCAGTAAAAATTGGAAAATCTTTTTTTTTTTTTTATCCTCACCGAGGATATTTTTGCATTTATCTTCAGATAGAGCAGGAGGGAGAGAGGGAAGGAGAGAGAAACATCAACATGAGAGAGACACATGGAGTGGTTGCCATCCACACGACCCCAAACAGGGCCGGGGATAAACTGCAACCGAGGTACGTGCGGGAACCGAACCCAGGACTCTCTGGTCCGCGGACCGACACTCTAATCACTGAGCCAAACCGGCCAGGGCAAAATTGGAAAATCTTTTAATTTTGTTGAATGTTTTTTGTTTGTTTCTTTGTTTTTTTATCCTCACCTGAGGACATTTTTCCATCCCTTGTTCAGGTAGAGCGGGAGGGAGAGAGAGGAACAGAGAGAGAGAAACATCGATGTGAAAGGAACACATCAAGTGGCTGCCACCCGCACAACCGACCAGGGCCGGGGACAAACTGCAACCGAGGTACGCGCCCTTAGCGGGAACCGAACCCGGGTCTCTCAGGACCGCAGGTCAACGCTCTAACCGCTGAGCCAAACCGGCCAGGGCTTGTTGAGTGTTTTTATAATTCATCCCTGCAGTCCTTGCTAAAATCCTGAAACCAAATAACACAGTAGGTGAAGCAATATAACAAAAACTTTAAAAACATGTCTAAGTCGGCCCCGGCTGGTGTGCCTCAGTGGTGGAGCATCGACCCATGCACCAGGAGGTTGGCGGTTCGATTCCCGGTCAGGGCACATGCCCAGGTTGTGGGCCTGATCCCCAGTGGAGGGCATGCAGGAGGCAGCCAATCGATGTGTCTCTCTCATTGATGTTTCTATCTCTCCCTCTCCCTTCCTCTCTCTCTAAAATGAATAAAGAAAATAAGAAAATAAATAAAAACATGTCTAAGTCTTAAATCCTTTCTGGTTTTTTGGTTTTTTGGTATGTGCCCCTAGCGGAAACCGAACCCAGGACTCTCTGGTCCTCAGGCCGATGCTCCAACCGCTGAGCCAAACAGGCCGGGGCTTAAGTCCTTTCTGTATCCTTCCCAAAATGCCGTGAGGATGAGAAAAATCGCAGATGGAAATAGAAGAGAGAATAAACACTACAGAGAAGAGGGACACATTTTGGAGATGTGTTTTTTCAGAACGTCAACTGCTTTGGCCAAAGAGAGCTAACTGGGGAATGGACCTGTCTCCACGAACAATGTGAATGCATCCTTTCTCAGGGCAGTCCCGTCCAGCAGACAACATGAGCCTCTGTGGGCACCCTCCCCATCCAACCAGGCACCTCCTCCACGCTCTCCTCCTCAAGGCCCCCTCCCCTGCCCCAGCCGAGGTCCACCTGGGCTCCCACCCTGAATCTTTCTGGCTGGATTTTCCCTGCCTCCCTCCCCTCCCGTGGGGACACCCATCCTCCACTGCAGTGTGGTTCACGTCTCCTGGCTGACCCGGGTAGGGTTCCTGTCACAGTATTCTTGGCAGGTGGCACTGGATGAGGAGGAAGAGGAGAAGGAGGAGCGCGTGTGTGCTCAGTATCTCTGAATTGTCACAGCAGGCCGGTGAAATGCTGCCTTCATCCCTTTTCACAGTGAAGACGTGGGGGCTCAGCCCTGGCCAGGTAGCTCAGTTGCTTAGAGTGTCGTCCTGATGTGCCAAGCTTCCGGGTTCAATCCCTGGTCAGGGCACCTACACAAAGCAACCAATGGGTTGCCCAGCCGGGGTGGCTCAGTGGTTGAACGTTGACCCAGGCACCAAGAGGTCACCTGGTCAAGGCACATGTCCCCGTTGTGAGGTTGTGAGCCAAATCCCCAGCAGGGGTCGTGAAGCAGACTGATGTTTCTCTCTCATTGATGTTTCTGTCTCTCTCTCCATCTCCCTTCCTCTCTCTTTAAAAATCAATACAAACATTAAAAGAAAAAAAAAAAGCAACCAATGGGTGCATGGATGGATGGATGGAGCAACAAACTGATGTTTCTTCCCCCCACCCCCAATAAAAGCTTTTGAGAAGCCATAGTTAATCACCAATATTCTGTCAGGGACAGTGGAGAGCTTCCATCAGGTGGCAGAGGAACAGACCAGGTGGCAGAGACTCTAGGACGCACACCCCCGCAGCGGGCAGGCAGCAGGCAGCAAGCTGGGTGGGGAGCACTGGCCCTTTAATGGCCGAGCCCATAGCTTTGGATTCCGGAGGCAGTTGATGAGGGAGGGTCTTGGCTCCCAGGCACACAGGGGATGCCCCAGGACCCAGGGCTTCCAGGAGCTGCTCCCCAGATTTCCAGGCTGGACAGCCTGCCCCACTGCGTCCACCATCCCGGGGAGCTGCGGCCACTGGCTAGAGGGCCCAAGGCTCCCGCCAGCCCAGGTCAGTGGGTGCCGTGTTAAGTTCCTTTCCCTGGCAACTACAGGGCAACTGGTTTGGGAGACTCATGTCCCCACATCCCCCTCCTTGGGCTCTGCTAACCCGTCCTCCGCGCCTCCTCACGGCCCAGCGGCACAGGCTTTCGGAACCTTTGCCCATCATCACTGGTCCCGGTGGGCCTGCAGCTAACCTGAGTCAGTTGGCCACTCTAACCCTGGCATCCAGAAAGCAACTTCTGGTCCTACCGGTACCACCACCCGTCGCTGTCTTCCCTGGCCTCAGTTTCCCAGGGACAGAAAGGGCAGGTTAGATGGGAAGAGGCATCACCTCCACATCCATGGTGGGTTTCCTCCGAAGTCTCTCCTTCCACGGCCTTTGCCCAGTGTGTGCCCCTCCCCCGTGGACCCGTCCCTTCACTCCCTTCTGCTTCTGACCCCCGGTGAGCACCCCTAGCCTCAATTCCTCCCCTCCTGATGCCACCCTCTCTAAGGTGACCACTGAGGTTGCCCTACCCTAGGGTTCAGTTTGCTTGGCACTGTCTCATTTTATTTACTTACTTATTTACTTACTTATCTTTTTATTTTTATTTTTAGTGATTAACCCTCACCTCAGAATATTTTTCCATTGATTTTAGATAGAGGGAAGGGAGGGAAGAAGGAGAGAGAGAGAGAGAAAGACATTGATTGGTTGTCTCCCTGACCATCCAGACTAGGGCTGGGGATCGAACCTGCAACCCAGGTACGTGCCCTTGACTGGAAATCGAACCGTCCCTCCACGACCAATGCTCCAGCCACTGAGCAAAACCAGCCGGGGTGGCACTGTCTCATTTTAAAACCTAAAGATCCTGTCCCTCGGCCCCAGGGAAGTGGGGACTGGAATTGTCCCTCCCTCGGGGTCCTCAGCTCAGCCCTAGGCTGCCCCCCTCCCCCCGGCCATGTTTCTCTGCCCCTTCCTGTCCCTGCTGGCACCCTGGCCCTTACTTGTCCACCTCCCTCACTACTGTGGGCTCCTGGGAGCAGGACCAGCCAGGCCAGGCCACAGTGCCTGCTGGGCGGGCCACACGGTAGGTGCTTAATAAAGACCCTCCCAACGAAGAAACTCTGGAATGTTT